CATTCCCAACAACAGGTCCGGCGGTCAGCGGAAGTCTAGCTCAATCAGTTGGATTCAGCTGGTGAGGAACCTTCTGTTTGCCTTTCATTTGATCATCCGTTTCTCCCCTAGAAACGGAGAATCCTGTTGGCATTCGAAAATGTGCATAAGGAATAAGCCAGAGCCGTTGTATAGCATGTGCCGAGATGGCACTGCCACGTAGCTGGGATCCTAACCAGGTGGGGCGACAGGCATTGAGACGGCATCGGCCGCGCCAGCCACCTGCGCTCGACCCCGTCTCCGGGGGCTCTATCTTGACATCGGGTACAAGTGGGTGACAAAAGAGAGTGTGCAGTAGATACTACGAAAGTCTACTGCCACTTAAAGCTTATTCACGCGCAAGTTACTGCGTCTGCCTTCAGCTTGTTGAAGCAGGCGGTTGACATGGACGAAAGCAACGATGAAACTTTCAGTTGCGCTAATCTCTCTTTCCTGATAACACGTTTTAAAATACTCTTTAATGGTTATAATTATGGACTAAATTAACCGGGCGTTCACCTTTCTGTCGTGCAGAGTACGCTACTTACTTATTTGTCGTTGGCACAGATATTTCCAAATTTTGTCGGTAGACAGAAATGTCATGAGCAACCGTGTCATTTTTCCTTGCCAGGACCATCTGGGGTATAGCGATTGTGAGTCTGGTGTACGCACCACTCCTACTGTTTCTGCGAAATCCCCCAAGACGCGAGGAAACCCAGGTAACGTGTGCAAGTTTTTTACCTTAAGCGCGATCAATAATAACAACAACATATGAATTAATGTCATGGCAAAATAATCTGCGGATAATTTTAGCCAGTCTTAGCGTTAGGTGTCAGTAAAAACTAACAGAAAATAACGTCCATAAGTGGTTTCCCGTTAGTTGGCCGCAGTTGAAATGTTTCCAGACTTAAAATGGTACCAAACGTAAGATTAATCCCTTTGAGTAGACTGCTTTTAAAGGAAAGAGGAATAAGCGTCGGGCATCTTGACTGTCAGACTCATTAATGTTGACCCTGCGCTTCAGGACGTCGACTTCCATGCACCTTAGGTTCTAGTGGTAGCCGATCTACAAAGTACCTGTTCAATGCGCCTTCCTACCAATTTGGGCTCTGTCACAAGGCGACCATAGACCAGCTCGAGGACAGTGGCTGGTAAAGCGAAATAGCCCTTCTGCACGTGCAAAACATGACCTGCTTCACACTGAGGGGACCAAGTCTTCTCGAAGAAGGTCTCGATCGCAGCTGAGTGTTAGTGTCTTAGAGATCTCATTTAAGGGGCGCTGTCGAATCCAGAGTTATGTCACGAGAGGCCAGATTTGTTCCGCCTTTTAAGCAATACATTGCATCCCGATAATTTGAAAGCTTGTTAGAAGTTTTTGTCAGCGAGGAATGTCCCAAAGTAGCGTAAGAATTGTTCCTCCCGAGAGGCCTTTAATCTTTCGTCCTCCTTTCATGAACTGGTCGACTTTCCCCATCCGTCAACTCTCTGCTGCTGCGATTAAGTACAGTGACTGGCGCGACGTATGGCCTATATCTGGGCATGCCATCACACCCCTCCTGTGGCGCAGTACTTATGGACTCACAATTATTCTGTGCATTCTCATTTACACTTGCCGTACTTGTACTTGTTACGGCTGTGATCATGCCTGATCTAGCCGACCTCAATGAGGACACGAACGGTACCTCTCCATGTGTGGCGATTGGTGGCAGCGGATCTGGAGAGCTCTACCCTGTCTCTTCTCCAGCGCCGGAGACTGAGTACCGAAGGTCCAAGAACCACTTCCATGTTCTAACGGACTGAGTCGAGCCAGGAAGGGGAGGTGGATTACCCATTAGCCTAGCTGCTGGCTACCCGGCGTGTCCACAGGTGGCGGATAGTGGAACGACCTTCAGTGAAGGTCAGCTGTGAAATGAGCGGACTCTCGGGTCTGGCGAATAAGCAGTCGCGGACCAGCAGCGACAGTGCTACCAAGGCGCGGCAGGCTGAGGCTTGGCAAGCCAAAAGCTTCTAAAGTGGCGCAAAGCCTGACGACGGTGCTGTGACATAGCGAGCGTGAACCGCCATCAAATAGGTTCGCTTGCCACCGCTGCCTTGTCTTTAGGCTATCGAACCCAAAATGCTAGAGGAGACAACCTCGGATCCCCAAAAGCCACACGGATTAAACAATCCGTGCGGCTTTTGGGGATCCGCCCGTACTC